TTTAGGGCTTTGTAGGTGAGCACCTACATCTTGAATTGGGCCCGGAAAATGAACGGCAGCCAATGGAGCTCCGTGAACAGGAGGGTTGACCTCTCTCTGTAAGTAGCACCAGTTAACAACCTGGCTGCCACCCGTTGGACCAGCTGAAATTTCCGAGCCGTTTTCAAGGGCAGCCCCACGTAGAGCGCATTACAGTAATCCAATCTGGAAGTGACCAAGGCATGGACCACCCCAGCCAGATCAGCCTTCACAAGGTACGGTCGCAGTTGGCGCACGAGTCTCAGTTGTGCAAAAGCCCTCCCAGTCACCGCCGACGCCTGAGCCTCAAACTTGAGTGATGAATAGATATCAAGAGCCCACTATGCTTTGTCTATCCTATATGGGAATACAAGAAATATCTTTCTGTGTTGTGGCACTCCCACTGAGCATTGCAAGTCCTTGCAAGTCAAACTTGCATCCATTCAATGTAACATGATAAATATTCACTCAACATTTACAGTATATTCTGGCGTATAAGACTACTTTTTAACCCAAGAAAATCTTCTCAAAAGTCAGGGGTCGTCTTATACGCGGGTGTAGTCTTATGCATGGGAGTTGTCTTAACTCTATATTTTAACTGGAAAAGTTGGGGGTCGTCTTATATGCCCAGTCGTCTTATATGCCGGAATATACGGTAGAGTCCTCGTGACCACAGGTTGGTTCAAACTTGTTTTTTAGGAAGAGGAAGTGATGGTTCACTACATTGTAATTATACTGATTTGTTTTAAATTGTTTACATTGTTTTAAAATTACTTTTATTGTATACCCAGTATACTGCATTCTCCAAACACAGGGTGGAATAGATATATGTTAATAAACATAAATAAATGAAATATGACATAGCACAATTCTCATAAAGCTACTTCTTTAAAATCGAAGCAGCATAAATAAAAGAAGTCAGATTTTGTTTATTTTTAAAATGTCACAAAAACCAGACCAATCTGAATTATACTGTGTTCTACATATTCTGTGACCAAAAGAAGAATCTTTAGTGTGGGATGATAGCGAAGATGTCTTATGTATTTTTAAATAATGAGGGAGGTCATCCCTTTAAAGAAGATCTACAAAATAAAGGACAGTAGGGTTGTATTTTCCCTCTTCCTTCACGAAATCTGACAGCACACAGTCCCCAAATGCACTAATGGCAACACGCCAGGAAGGACGTCTGTTGTGTTTATGGGTTTTGCAGTTGACATATCTTGCAGCCAAATATAGAATTATTCACTTCGGTGATATCACAGGCTGTTCTTCAGAAAAAGAAAGAACAGCCCACTGGGTTCATTCTATCTCATCCCTTACGTCATATATTGTGTGCCAGTCTGCATGAAAAAAAAAATACACAAGAACAACAGAAGATTGTAATAATTGTGCATAGGAAGCATTGATGCAAGGGTGAAAATTATACATACACATTATAATAATTCTCTACCCAAAGTCAACTTTTTCTACAAAGTATTTGGATTGATTTCTTAGCTGTCATCCTTATCGTAGGAAAAAACATCTAGGCACAAAATTGCCATTGCTCATATTTGTACCTTGTTACTTTTGCCTCTCCCTTATTGTTCTGTCGCA